TACACACATAGAAGTCAGTGAGTTAAACCAAAATGGGAGAAGCCCAGTACTCCAACGATAGGAAACGTGTTTTTACTTCCTACAGGTTCCAGGTTCAAACACGTGACGTTTTCCGCGTTTCCTTCTGTGCACCTCTTCAGAGGGTTAAACGCAATAGGTGGTATTTTCCTAAAGATTTCAGTCCCTGGATATACAGTCAGAAATTCAGGCAGGCGTTCAGGTGTTGCAAAATGCTGAGTGACATTTTCTCCTCTTAATCTGCCGTCCTGCCTATGCACGTGAGCCGCCCGCTGAAACCCCAGCCTATAGGATCTAATGTGAGCCTCTGGCTGTTTCACTCATTCCAGTGAAGTCTATTTAAATGCTATAATTAAGCAATTCCTTTTTATATTTGGGCAAGTGTTCTCAGTATATGTCTCTTTACTTGATTTAACCAATTCTGGAGATACTGATTTTAGACCATCGCAATACCCTAATGATGAGTTCATTTGTTAATAGAGGGGTTTTCTCTTCTGAACGTAGGTGATCGATACAATTCTCCAATACATGCCACTAGGTTAAGGTAAGGCCGTGTCTCACAGAATAGCCCTGTGAAGAGTTACAAAAGGGAAAACACAGAAGCACAAAAGCCATGCAATCAATGGTTCTTCTGCCGTGTTTCCATAATGCCCCAATAGACACTTATTTAAAAATTATCTGAAGGATTGACTTTCCACTTTTTTTTTAAATCACGCAATGTGTTGTATAGATCCAGCTTGGGTATATCTGCCAGCAGAATGCCAGGAGAAAAACACAAAAGCGGGAGAGGCAAAAGCTATAGAGAGAAGTGCTGATAGAATCACGTTGTATGCTTGACTGACAGCATTATTACTGATTAAGGAAAAAAGCAGTACCTGAATACACAGCCTTGGAAAATGAGCCCACTGCTATAATATGTCTAGGCCATCCACGTGCTCACCTTGACAGTCTCAACAAACAGGAACCATACTGCATTGGATCCGTTTTCTGCACACCTGGGGCCAGGGCGAAGGCATTATCATAAGTGTGGCTATCACGGTTCAGGGCATGTTTCTGAAAAGCCCCCAAAGATTCTCTCGGTTAAAATAAATGAATGTAGTATACATGTTTGCTGGACTAGAATAACACCGGGATACCGGAGGGTTTCTTGAAAGGTAGGTACATCCATCTACGGAGCAAGCGTTCGTAGCACTTTCTCCCTAAAGAAACACGGCGTTACGTATGCCATGGAGGACGGGACTCACCAGACGGCCACGTTCTTTCCTTCCTGCTTTCTGTTTTCTCGGGACAGCTGTAACACTTTCACGGTTCCTGTAATTCGGTATGGTCCCCGATTCACTTCGGCTTCGGCGCGGCCCGAGGAGTGTCTGCATCACAGAAAGGCGAGGTCCTTTCTTCATTTGAGGAAGATAGATTTAATGAGTGAGCACCCATGAGCGCGTCCTTTACCCCATCATCCCTCCTGAGGAATCAGTTCATGAACACTCCCGGGATGAGAGACGAGCCTTCTCTCCGGGCGTATAATTCTTCAAGATGCCCTATGACAGAGGGAGGGAGACAGAGACATTTGAGTGTTTGCACGAGCACTCGTGCCCCCCCAGTGCCCCCCCCCGCCCCCCCCCCCCCCCGTGCCCCCGACGGCGCCTCGGGGGCCCTGACCTCGCTGCCACCAGCAGCAGCCCCTGAGAAGGTTGAGGGCAGAGGCCCACGTGAAGGTACCGGGCTCTGTCTCCTGCTGGCCTAAGGCGTGTCAGGACCTAAACACATCAAAACCTCCCTCGGGGAGGACTTTCCAGACGGGAGCCTTCTAGTCCGGAATAACTGCATACGTCTGCTAGCTGCTACCGGGTCACTAAGTCAGCAAGCCCATAAGCTCTCTGGCGGTGCCGGTGTGTGCGCGGAAGCCGGAAAGCAGAGCAGGCTGTTTCTCGAGCACCGTCGTGGATGCGGGCTACTCGCGACCGCCCTTGATCTAGATGGGGCAGGACTGATTATCTTCATTTTTAAAAGGAGGAAACTCAGGCTCAGAAGTGTCCGTCACCTTGCTAATGTCATGACGATAGTAAGTGGCAAAGCTGGGGGCGGAACCCGGGTTTCTGGATTTCTTTCTTTTCTTTTTTTAATATGAAATTTATCGTCAAGTTGGTTTCCATACAACACCCAGTGCTCATCCCAACAGGGGCCCTCCTCAATGCCCATCACCCGCTTTCCCCTCCCTTCCACCTCTCCCCCCGCCATCGACCCTCAGGTTTCTGGATTTGTACCTCATCAGTCTTTCCGCCGTAGTCCACGGCCTCTCCTCACACCATGGTGGAATATATTTTCTAACGTTTTCATTTATTGTATCATCCTTAGAGTAGAGGTGCCTTAGTGACAAGATGAGTATCATGTTACGGAAACGCAGCACAAAAGAAGTAGAACGTAGGTTTTAGAAAGCGTATAGACATTGCAAATTAAAGCAGCATGAGTGTTAACTATCTAGCCTCCATCTTCCAATCAGTTTAAATTACTTTTAATGTATGTTTTTAAACTCAAAATGATCTGTCATCCCAATGTGCAACCCTCGTAATGTGTGGTGAATTACACGAGATCATTTTGTTTTGATTCCCCTCCTTTTTAAGGGGATCTCCCATTTTGTACTTGGGATTGGTCTTTTCACGTCACGTCATTTCAGAGAAAGGGATGTTCTCCCTGTGTATTTTGTAGACTACTTCTCAGACCCTAAAGACATAGATATTGTTTCCCACAAATAATTCACTTAAGTTTTCTTCAAAGTCTGGGAGCTGAATAATTCTCTGTATCACGCTTGAAACAAAGTCACATCGCAGTGAGCATAAAGGACACACACTGTGAGCTCGCTCTCAGGTCTGACACTCCCTGCGACCGCTCAGCTTGGAGATCAAAGGTGCTGAGCACACAGGAGGGTGACGTGAGCACGTCTGAGCAGAGCGGTTGGCGCTCCGGAATGATCCCGAGTTAATTCCCAAAGGAAAGAGAACCTCTCGGCATAGACATTTTCAATCAATAGCCAAGCAGCCCAGAAAACATTAATTTCAATGAAGTTATTTTCCTGTGATGGCTGTATAGAGAGACATAGGTTTCAAAGAAACACGATTATGTTCCTCCTGATCAGAGAAGAGAAGACATTTTCAAAAACCATGTCGCTGAATGAAAGCTAGGTTAAGCAAAGTCACTTTGATTTCTCCCTCCCTGTCTTCTGCCAGTGGCCTGCTCAAACTATCACTTCCAGCGTGCTTTCAAAGGAAACCACTCGAACAGCATGCTCGTTACTTCATGACATAGCCTTCGTCTTCTTTAAGCACAGACTCATTTGGATTAAAGAGATGGGGCGAAGTGGGTTCGTGTGATTTCCACAATGACACGTCTCCATCCCATTTCCCTACCCCGTTCCGACCCAGCCAGGACTGGGGGGCGAAAGGCGGCAGAAAAGGAAGGTGCGGGTGTGCACAGGTGGGTAGACTGGGTCCAGCCCCTGCTCCCCGCCAGCATCCGCCTCTTCCTTTCCGCTTCCTTTCCGGGGCTGTCTCAGGGACAGACCTGCATCTCCGAACTACATGTGAGACGTGACGCGGGCCAGCCACACACCTATTGCTTATTTTATCATCTTCACCTGTTACCTCTTGCTCTCGCTTTCTTGCCGCTGTGCCGCCTGCCAGAATTCAACCCCGGGCACAGATGGTGAGAAGGTGATTTCTGCCACCGAGAGGCAAATAACCTGCCCACATATTAACGGGTATTTATTTACCTAGCAGCAGAACCCGAGACGTCGTAGGTGACAAGGACTTGAATTCCCAGCACTAGTCTCTAAACTTGCGAAGCGTGTCACTTCTTTCAAACAAAATCGCTTCGAAGCGTGTCGAGCCGTAGTTAGGCATAGGAGGCTTGCTGTGGGGTATTTCCTCACGCAGTGGTCACCCCGAACGCCGAGTCCAGCATTACAAGTAGCTGCCTCTGCATCCTGTAGGCCTCACCCACCTCCGAGATTGACAGATACGAAGGTCTCCGGATGGATACTTCTGGAAAGGGTCTGAAGGTCTCAGTGCTCCCCATAGTAAGTGTTCTTTCTATAGTCTGAAAAAGTCTAGGGGAGTACAAGTTTGGTTCTGATTACATAATTATGCTACAGAAGTATGAAAAAAATCATCACTGAAACCCTCCAGGTGCTTAAACAGTTTGATAGACTGTAGCCATTCTGCCATCAGCGCCCCCAGCTGTGTTGCTTAGCAACATTTTAATTCCAGAAGAATCGAAGGAGATGCAATCCCTGTGGAGAGGGAAACAGAAATCTCTAAGAGGGCTGTTGACAGATGATCTGAGTTGTTTCTTCTAATATACTGTGAAGATCACTAGCTCTTTTCATGAATGATAAATGGACTGTACACAGATCAATGGGTTCAGCAATAAACTGGAACCAGGCTCCATGTCTAAGGCGACACAGGCCGAGAGGCCCAGAGATTTCCTCATTTCGATGATTTGGTGTGTGTTTTCTTAAAGGTTCCACGGGAGGACATTGATCCGAGTAGTCGGTCGTCCCTTGGCCTTTTGTGGTGTCTGCTAATAAAAATGATTTTAGAAACGGCTACTTTGGCCTTGCTCTCACCACGCAGGTGCGGCCAGGTGTCAGTAGTCAGGCAGGGTAAACGGGTCCCTGCCACAGATCTAAAAACCCGGGATGGGCCCATGACTGTCCCCCACCCCCCGCCCCTGCCTCTCCATCCGGTGGTAATAACCCAGGCAAGCCCACCCAGCAGGTAAGATTTGAGTGCAGGGTGGGGAGACAGGAATGAGTGTCTGTGTCTGAAAGCTGCACTTGGACAGGTAACCATGTTCCCCGGGAGACACAGAAAGCAATTTTCCATGTTTCGGAAGAGCATTTTATATTGCTTATTGTTTGGTAACTAGTTGCAAAGATTATGCCTGCTAATGTTGTCTAATTGCATTTTTTTTTCTTCTGCTTACAGGCTGTTGAAAAGGCAAAACCTAAGAACAATCCTGTGAAGTAAGTTATTTTTTATTAGTTGGCATTTTTAATTTGAATGGACTCCATGCATGTGAAGAAAAATAAGGTCGTAAAAGAGACCTGTGATTTCAAGTTCCTCTCTGTTTATGACAGTCGACAGACAAAAACAAAACAAGGGCGGGGGGAACCCACCAAAACCCAAAAAGAGCTAGTGGGGACTAGCTTTTATTTTTATTTTATTTTTGCTTGTGGTCCTGATGACTAAGTGCCCCAAGTCGTGCCCAGTTTACATAAATTAATACGTGCCATCCATGAAGAGTTGCCAAATACTATTATAATCCCATTCGAGGCACGGCACTTCAGGCCTTTGGGTTTTGCGCATGCTAAAAAGATTATATATTTAATTGCAAACCTTGGACCTACGACAGAGACTTAAATGGCTAAAAATGTGCCAAGCGATTTCCAGCCACGTGGGGAGCTTCGGCACCTTGGCATCAAGGCCTTGCTACCCTGTTAATGAAAAGCTCATAAAAATATATTTAACTAAACGTTTTTCTAGCTAACAGAGAGCTATTGCCAAGGCATTTTTGTGGGACACTCTTAAATTATAAACAAGCAGCGCCGTATTCTTTTAAATATAGTACATCTTGGACATCCTGCCTCTTCCAGAAGGGAGACTTTCAAATTAAGATGGATGTTTGCCTTGTCATTTGGGTTTGTGACATCTGATTGCACTGTTAATGCATACTAGGCCCACCAGCCATATGGCCTAGGGAAGTCCTGCTCTCCTGTCTGGGTTGTTACAGGCCTCGCAGTATCACGCCTCAAGGAACTCCGCGTTAAATCAGGGTAGCCCTGTCCCGTTGTCGTGGGCACTGAATGCAGAATTGGGGGAGTGCGTTGATTTTGAATAGTTTCTGGGAGAATGGGTCAACTGATAGCGATGGCAAGAAGGCTGCTTTTCCAAGTCACCGGGGTAGTGTGTAGCACACCATTAAATCCAACCTCTAATTCATTTTTCCAAAAGGTTTCGTGTCCTTTTTCAAATTCATTTTTCTTAGGCCACAGACTATTCCTTATCGGCTTTTGTAGCCTCTCGAGGAGCTTCTGTCGTCTGGAGATGTATTGTGCTATAGTCATCTTAGGGGAGTATTTCCAGTAGCTGAGTTTCTGGCTGGTTGTTTGATTGGGGTTGAAATCTTCTCTGCAGCCTGATTTCTTTCCTGTCTATGCCCTGAAGGCTTCTCTACCGCCAGCCTGTGGCGGGATTAGAGGGTGGTGCTAATGAGGCCGAGGCCAGAACTGCTAGTCCCTGGGTGGGCCATTAGCAATCTCCTTTCCCCTAGTCTTATTGCACCCTTCCCTCCAGTCCACCGGTGTGCAGATGTGTGCCCCAGGTCACAAGGGATGGGGCAAGGGCTGGAGGAGGGTAAGCCCAGGCCCTCAGTGGGGCAGACCTATCCCAAGTTCAAACCCCCCCGATAGGAAATAAGACCCAGGCTCCATCTTGGCGTGCTCCTTGTAAGGATTCGATTTTACAGATAATGTGTGTGTGTGTGTGTGTGTGTGTGTGTGTGTGTGTACACAATATATATGCACAATATGTATATTATGGGTTCTGGCTAATTCACGGCGAGACTCCCATCTAATGTCTAACGGGAAAAACGGCAGAGCCAGAAGATTAGTGATAGAATATGGAGCTTTTTACGGGTAAATATATTTGAAAATCTGCTTAGTAATAAGCCTCACAATCAACTGGTAGATGCTTAGAATTGTCTTCTAATTAAGTAAGATGCTGTTCTTGGTGTGCCTTTGGGTACCGGGCTACATGCGGGCTCACGACGCCTAGCCCAGCCGCCCAGCCACAACCGCTGGGCACTTGAAGAAGAGAGATGTCTTCAAGACCTTAGCTCAGGGACAGCATAGCCAAAGCGGAGTTTTTACAGTTTTGATGCGTAGCAGTCCTCTTTCTGGTTCCGATGTCTGACGGAGAATTTTGGTTACACACAGTGCACTGAGACCTCAAATAGAGTAAGGGTTCAACCCATGTTTTTGTGACTGAATGAGCAGGTCAACACATTGGACACATCCCAGAAAACAGCCCTTCCGGGAACCTGGCCTGGAGGCTTCAGGAGACGGTTGGCCGTATACTAACTAGAGTGTCAGACCGGAAGGGGCCGTCTGTTGTGACAGATGAAGTCATCCACTACCCTCTTATTCTCGGCTCGCGCCACATATAAAATACTCCCACGTTGCTCTGGTTCATCCGAGCTGCTTTGCCTCTGACCAGTCACTGGCTTGATCTTCTGTGCCAGAATTGACATTTGATGGAGCGCACGATGGAAAGTGTATACAGTCTTGCTGGAAAAGTAGAGGTCTGGAGGCATTTACAAATAAAGCATGAACGCACATTGGTGCACGTGATCATATGTGTGATTGGATGTCGTCATCTGGTGCAGGGTTTGGCAAATGGTTGGGGAAAAGAAATCAAAAGAATATTCCATGACATGTGAAAATTACATGAAATTCAAATTTCAGTGCCTATAAAAAAAGCTATATTGGCACACAGCAACACTCATTTGTTTCCGTATTGTCTGTGCCTCCTTTTGTGCTACAGTGGCAGAGTTTAGTTGCGACAGACACCGTACAAACCACACAACCAAAGCTGTTTACTACCTGGCCCCTTACAGAAAAAGATTGCTGACCCCTGCCCTCATTGGTCAGGTAGAAAAAGGCACAGGGGCACCTGGCTGGCTCAATCGGTTGAGCGTCCGACTTCAGCTCAAGTCATCTCGCGGTTGGTGGGTTTGAGCCCTGCATCAGGTTCTGTGCTGACAGCTCAGAGCCTGGATCCTGGTTTGAATTCTGTGTCTCCCTCTCTCTCTCTCTTTCTCTCTGCCCCTCCTGTGCTCTCTCTCTCTGTCTCTCCTCCTCTCTCAAAATAAATAAACTTTAAAAAATACAATAAAAGCAGGGGTGCCTGGGTGGCTCAGTCAGTTAAGCGTCCAACTTCGGCTTGGGTCATGATCTCACGGTTCATGGGTTCGAGCCCTGTGTTGGGCTCTGTGCTGACAGCTCAGAGCCTGGAGACTGCTTCAGATTCTGTGTCTTCCTCTCTCTCTTCCCCTCCCCTGCTTGCGCTCTTTCTCTCTCTGTCTGTCGAAAATAAATAAAAATGTTTAAAAATTTTTAAAAATAAAGAGAAGAGAAAGGCACAGATGTAAGCTTTTCCATGACCGTGCAAGTTAAACTTATCAGCCCCCCCTTTTTTTTTTTTGGCCTTTAAAACATTGAGCAGGTGTTTACTGAGCCCTTTTCATGGGTTCTGGATATCTTAGGATGATGTCCCACCCAATTCTCATTTCTCATTCAGAGCAAAGAGACCGCTCCTAATTTACTATCTTTGAAGTCGTTACGCGTATGAGACCTATTGACAGAGCAGCTATGTGTCAGAAACCGGTGAACACAGAGCTAGAGCATACTGCTAGCCTTCCAAGTTGTATGTAGATGGGTATATTGCAAAAGGCACGTGCATGTTCCAAAATTCCATTACTCCCCAAGATCTAACTAAGGCTAAGCATACTTTCAATCGCAGTGATGGTAAATGACTCACAATATCCATTTAGTTGGTCTGTTTTCCCCTCCAAGGGTTTGCTTCCTCTTCCCCATTTCTCAAGCACTTGTTCAATTTACTTTTAATGCCTTCATGGTTGTAAGGTTCTTTCGACACCACAGGGGGACCGTGGTACACATTAATTACACTCCATAGAAAGGAGAAATTAAATATATGCTTAGTGAAGGTAAGCCCATAATGTACCTGGATACACTAATGATTCTACCCTGAAACATTAAATATTACCTCTGAGGGTAAGAATCAAAATGGAATGTTCTTAAGATCAGTGATCAGGACAAGAGATGCTGGTATATTTCTCAGTCTGCTGGAGCCATGCCGATATCAAAGCTTGATTAGTATGTTCAAACTGTGGCTCTTTAATGTGTCAGAGAGACTTTCACTTGTATGTTAATGGTCTGCAGCAATTATCTTCAAGCTTTCATTGTGACAACAAGGCCTGAGAGATGTACAGATTTCTTCTACCATATGTGACTTATCACATACATTTTTTTAAAAACACATTTCTGTTATTAAGACATATGTGATAGTACACTTCTGCAAATGTGAATTGCTTTTGGCTAAAAGCCATGCACTAATAAGTTGAGTTGAATCTAACCGAGGTTGACATCTGTTACCAAAAGGAGGGACGGGGGGTGGAGAGGGAGAGAGAGGGAGAGCGAGCACAGTTGTCAAGCATCACATTCTTCCTTGCTTTTACACTTTAACAACGTTAAACAACGTAGTTGTTGTCTTTCACAAATCGGGATCAGAATCCACTCTGCTTCGGAAATTACAGCTTTATTTGCGAGCCAATCCATCTTACAGATACGGTGGTTTCATTATTGAAATTGACAAATAGCCACAAAGATTGTCCTGCCCATGGTGTTTGTGCATTATTCATTTATTCACCCAATGAATATTTATTGAGAATCTACAGCGTTCCGGGAACTGCGATAGATGCTGAGGGAATTAAAAATAAATCTGACACAGGTCTTACCCTCGAGGAGTTTAGAGTCCAGTAGGAGAGATAAAATCGGTTTGTAAAGAACTAAATACAAGATAGAGAGAGATGTTTGTTAAGTAGGAAACAGATGAGTACAAGGGAAGTTCTAAGGACAGAATGTGCTTCCAGTTAGCGCTGGTGGAGAAGGCGGGGGGGGGGGGTGGGTGGGGAGGGACATTTGCACCAGGACTTTAAAGATTTGGTTTGAGCCACTGGTGCTGAGGTGGCAGGCAGTGCAAGGTCAGGTTGGAAACCAAAGCTCAGAAGAAATGGTGACTTAGGGACCTCAGCATTGAGGAGCCCTAACTCGTTACTGTGAATCATCATTTATTCCCCTATTACTAAACATAAACAATGAGTCCATAGACGTGGGATCCAGTCCTCAATCGAACACTAGCTTATGGTATGGGGTTGTACATGTTC